CCCCCGCCGAAGCCGGGGGGGGGGGGGGGGTCCTGGCCCCTCAGGAGCAGCCCTGGAGCAAGGCTCAGCTCGGCTCCCCGGCGCCCGCACCCTGGCCCCGAGGAAGGCTCGCCAAGGGGGTCGGCATCGGCAGCCGGGCGGACCCAGGGGGCCAAGGCAGCCGAAGCGGCCTGCCGGGGGTCCTGCTGGGAACCGAAACTTTGGCAGGACCCGGGGGGGTGGCCCTCCCCCTCCCCGGCCAGCCCTCCAAGCCACGGCCACCAGCCCCCCAGCTCTGCCCTCCCTCCTTCTGCCAGCTGGCAGGGCAAAGGGGTTCCTGCGTCTGGCTGATAAGCCACCCAGACTGGCTCCAACTTGCGCCCGGCCCAGGCGAACGAAGGGAGGCAGCTTGCGGGCACCTCCCTCAGCAGCCTGGGCTTCCGACCGTGCCTTTGGGATGATTCCCAGGAAATGGGAGGGTACGTACGAGGTGGTGGCACGGATCCAGGGCACAGTGCCCTGTGTCAAGGGCGTAGCTAGGGGACTGAACGGGAGAGTACAAAGCACCGGGTGCGTGACTGGGAAATGAAGCCTCCAGATGCAGTGGCACTCTACCAGATTCTGGAGGCGACATGGCGGTAAGAAGGTCGCCGGTCCTCGTCTCGCGGTGGATGTCTTGCAGGACACGAAAGCCAAACGGCCCCTAGGGAGGCTGTCCTCCTGCATTCGCGCCCGGCGTTGGGGGTTCGCCTGCAGCCGGCAGCACCTCCTTGGGTCTCTCTCCTCCCTCTCAAATGGAGGAGAGTGGAAAAAACGAGGGAAGGGGGGAGCAGTTGAGCCCTGGGGGCGCCTGGAGCGCTAACGCTCCTCTCACCCTCCAAAGTGACATCCTCCTTCCGCCTCCTTTTGCCAAGAAACAGGGGGAGGGCAGGGGGTGGGGGTGGTGGGAAAGAGAGAGGGATCAGAATATTTCATGTATTTATTAGGTACCAGGCAGGCATCCCGCTATGTCATCCCTTTTATGGCTCTGGAACAAATGAGGTGTGGCTGAAAAGTGCCCAGTCAGCAAAAGCACCTTCCCTCCCCTTTTAAAAAACATATGCCTCCTTTTGTTCTGGAGAGAGACGGGGGGGGGAAGAGCAGGCGTCCTCCGCAGGCTCCTTTCCCGCTCCCAGAAGGGACAGAGGTCACGGTTGGAGGGGGGGGAGCCCCCAGAAGGGGGGGGCACAGGGGGTGGGGTGGGGATGCCTGCTTGCAGCCCTCTGGGCTTCCTGCCCGCCCCCTCCGGAGCCAGGAGCCCCGTCTTGTGCCATGGCCCCTTATCTTGTCCCCATTCCTCGGCCCCGGATCGGCCGTTGGGAAGCCTTGCTGGGGGGGGGGGGCTCCAGGGGCACAGCCGAGCCCCTTCGCGGGTAGCTGGTGGCGTTTTCCTTTTGTATCGTTCCCAAGGCTGCTCCCGGTTCCCAGGGATGGGGTGGAGGGCAGTTTGCGCCTCTTCCCGGTCGGTCGTGGCCCCATCCTGGTTGCACCGAGCGACTGGGAGCCCCTCAGCACACTTGGAGGCTGACGCCCGGCCTGTCCCATTGCGTCCGGGCCTGGAGCGTCTTCCTTCCCCGTCGCATCCTCTCCCGCTGAAGGGAGGATCCTCGGCCGGGACGGACTCGGGGGCTCTGGCGTTCCCGGGCCTGGATTTCAGGAGGAGCGGAGGGTCCCCTAAGCCAACGAACGCTGACCGGGACCGGCAGCTGGCGCTCTGCAGGACCAGGCCAGAGTTTTCCCGGCCCCAGCGGACTTGCCCCGGATCCCCCTGGCCTTCTCCCCCCAAGGCTCTCGGGCCACGAGGTGGACAGAAGCAGCCCAGCAAGGGCCTTGGCAGGGCACCTGCGTGTTGGACAGCAGGACACCGCCGGGGTCCCAGCCTCACCGGCTCCCCCAAAGGCCCTCCTGCATGCGAATGAGAGGTGCTTCACAGCCTGGGGGGGGGAATGGGGGGGCCGCCAACCACCCCGCAGATTCTGCCTCCTCCCTGCTTCTGGAATGTTTTCTTGGCTCTTCTGCCCTGGGCAAGGCAATCCAGGACCTGCCCTGAGAGAAAACAGCTCCAGGACAAGGGAGGGAGGAGGCTCGGTTGTTGAGAGCAGCTCAGTCTGAACAGAGGAGGAGGAGGAGGAGGAACCCTGTCAATTAATGACTGGAGCACAACAGGAGTGGAGCGAAAACAAGCCGAGGGAAGGCGGGCTGTTTGCCTAACCTTAGGAATAGTGGGATGGCTGGGCAGGGATGCTCCACGGCTTCTCCTTAGGAGACCCACCGGCCTCCGAGCACCTCCAAGCGATACCAACCAGCTTTTGTGTGATACCGACCGGCCTCCGAGTGCTTCCAAGCAATACTGACTGGCCTCCCGGCGATCTGCCTGCTCTGGGATCATCCTTTTTGGACCAGCAAGTAAGGTCTTTGTCAAACAGGATGAAATAAACACCCACAGCAAGGGAAGAGAAAGAGGGATGGGCCACCCGTGGAGGAGCCGTCAGGGATAGCGCCCCCCCCCCGTGAAGGATCCATCATCTGGGCCTGCCATCGCTTGGTGCTTGCATGCAGCCCCCTCCCTCCCTCCTTCCTCTCTGGAAGACCAAGGCTTACAAGTGGTTATGCTTAAAAGCATTTGTCTGGTGGCCAGAGCAACTCAGGGCTCTCCCTCAAGTCAAGGAGAAAGAGCAACAGCAGCAGCAGCCTTTTGGGGAGGGGGAGACGGTGCTTCCTTCCAAGTAAGGGGAAAGAAGCAAAAACAGAAGGCAAGGCACCTTAAGGAGTAGCCACTTCTGGAGGAGGAGGAGGAGGAGGAGGAGGGCCTCCCCAGCCAGCCCCTCCTTGCTTAGCCTGCAGTGGCCTCTGGTGGCAGGGTGTGTGTGTGTGTGGGGGGGGGTCGTCCTGGGGGGGGAGGCTTCTCCTGCAGCCAGAGCCCCTGTGCCAGGATGGACCCCAGCATCCCCCCCCCCCCGCGCGGAGGAAGAAGAGGGCCGCCCCAGTCTCTCTCCCAAGGAGGAGCCGGTCAGCCCAGAAAGAAAAGGCCAGGCTGCCATGCTGGGAGTGGAGCCCAGCAGTCGGCCAGACGGCAGCAGCTCCTGGCTCCCTGACATAACCAGGAAGAAGAAACGGGGCCCGGGTCGTCCACAAATGAAGCGTTTTAATTTTGGGAAAACGGAAACGGCCACATCTTGGCCCAGACAGAGGACAACGTTGATTGGTCAGAATGAAAACACATGGAATTGAACGTTGGGGAGGAGGAGGAGGAGGGACCCCACCAAGCACCCACAGCTGTCTGGAAAGGCAGCCCCCCCCCCGGGGACTTCCCATAGTGGAAGCGCCGCCTTTGAACCAGCGCTCGGGCCGTCCTTTCAGCATTTTGGCAAAGAGCTGCTTCCTAGCATTCGAAAGGCAGTCCGTGGACGGGCAAAGTCATGACGTGAATTTATATCCCATCTTTCTATTTAAAAAAAGCTCTTTGCCATCCCCGAGTGTAAAATTCATACATTAGGGAGCAGTTGAGAAAACCACATGGTTTGGGAAATTCAGAATACACATATTGTACAAGGGCGGTGAGGAGTTGTTCCCTTTGTTTCAGTAATATAAAGAATAGAAAACATCTGGCAGCAGGAAAGCCCTCTGCCTGATTCGGAGCCCAATCCTAGCTGGCCAGGGTGACCCACGGCCGGCTGGGCCAACTCCAGGCTACCTGAAGTGGGGCTGAATCCAAGAGGGGGCAAAAGGGCTTCGGACGACCCTCCACGCCGAGGACGCCACAAGCGTGAGTTTGCAAGAGAAGAGCAGGGCTGTGGGAGACGAGCCCCCGGCTGGGAGGCCCCGCTCCTGGGCAGGATCATCAGAAGTCCAAAGCGACAGCGGTGTGAGGGCGCCTGACATCCACAACCACACACGCCCCTCCCCGCCTGCCTTAGCCTCGGGCTGGCATTCTGGCCGCACGGCTGGACAGGAGGAGGTTTGGATCGAACGGGTGCCTCTCGGCTCCGCTCTTCCTCCAAACCACAAGGAAGGAGCCCGCAAATCCAGGAGGACAGAGAGAGGGGGAACCGTCTTCCGCACCCGAGGAAGGGGATTGTGAAAGTACAGAACTGGACAAGAACCATCGCCCCAAAGCTCTGGGGACGAGAGAACCCCCTGAAGTCCCCAAGGGCAGAGCAGGGCTGCACCAAAACGGCACAAAAGTCCGGCTGGCCAGCCAGCCATTCCCTGGGAATTGGAGGACCAGCCAAGCCAAGGAACTCCTCGGCCACTGTGGGGGCAGCACCAGAAGACAGCCACAAGGCGTGGAGGCAGAATCTGGACACACAAAACATATACCCACATGACATGATGGAGAAGCACCTGGAGCCCAGCGGCCTTTTTTCCAAGTGCCCAAACCCTCTGTGCCTCGGGGCATCCCCTCAAAGTGAGAGTGGAAGGCGAGCAGCAGGCGCTTCGGCTTCGTGAGAAGGCAAGTTTGTTTTTTAAAAAAACACACCAGAAAGTCTCCGGGTTGACATCAAGTGCTGTGAAACTAAAATGCCACCATTTTCTGGAGGGCTAACATCTCCCCCTTTTTCTGTTTCTAAAACCCTTGGGGGGGGGAGTCACAAAACCAGTCCCTAAGGCCACTGCCGGGCTGCCCTAAAAGTGCCACGACTGGGTGGCCGAGGGCTGTTCCAGCGTCCCGCCTCGGCCTCGGGTCTTCGCCCACCCGCCCTGCTCACCAGGCACCCCTCCTCTTCCCCCAGGCCAGGGGTCATTTCCAGAACGGATATCACCATTATGACACCCACCAGCCGGCGGGGGGGGCTTCCAAAGCAGAGTCTCACCCACTCAGAAATGAGTCAGCACCAGTGGGGGACCTCCAAGAACACACCGAGGCTGGCCTCCTGTGGAAAGGGTGTAATGGGCCCCTTGCCCCTCTCCAGGCGTCTTGTTCCTGCCCCTCTCCCCTCGCCGTTCAGTTCCATGGTTCTCTTCTCCCGCTTCCCTTTCAGGGGCTCCAGGGCAGGGGACCCCTCCTTCAAACCACTCCTAGCTTCTGCTACCAAGACCCTCCTCCTCGGTTCAAATCCAGCACCAGGGCAGCCTCTGGAGCATGCTCAGTCCTGCGCTGGTGTGGTGGCCAAGTGCCTCTCCCACTCTGCTTCGATCACTTTGTACAACTCCATAGTGGCTCGGGCGTCTTCCACCGAGGAATGGCCGTTCTGTCCCACCTGGAAGGAAAGGAGGGAGAGTTTCAGCACGCGGGGAGTATGACGCCCACCCCTCTCTTGCACGCAGGAGGACCTGCTGAGAAGCTGTCCTTCAGGCCACCGCCTCCCCTGGGCCCGGGAGCGCTCACACAAAGGAAGCTTCCGCGTGCCGTCTTACCTGGATGTCTCTGTGGAGGAGCTGCTTGGTGAGGCGCTTGAGGGAGGCCGCTTCGTTCTCCGGGAAACCCGCCTTGCGGTTCAGCAGTGGGATCTTCGAGGTGTCCCTGGTCAGGGATTTGGGGTGGAAGTACTTGAGGGCCTTGAAGTCGTTGTGGATGGCGTGGCCAACCACGATTTTCCCAGAGAGGATTTTAAGAATCTGAAAAAAGGGAATGGAAGTGGAAGGGGGAAGATCCTTCATGAGTGGGCAGCCAAGCAGCTGACTCCAGGGCATCACCCTCAACCCGTCGTTCCCGGCTTTACAGAGGCTTACGTGGCAAATGAACCCTGGAGTTGTCTCTCCTTAAACCATGCCCAGCCTGGCCACAGAAGCAGGGGCCGCACGCGTGGCCTGCAAAATGCTACTGGCTTTCAGTTCTGGCTCTCAGGCTTTCTCAGGGCTGGGCTTTGGCCAACAGGATTGCAGGCTGATTTCCAGGCCCCAACCGTCACGTGGCTGACAAATACAATTGAAAAAATGAGGAGGAGAGACCGGCGTGCAAGAACACCAAAGGGGCCTCTAAGCCAGAGAGGGGAGCGGGCCAGGCTTTTTGAGTCTCCACCCGCACGGAAGCCCACTTCACCCTCAACGGCCCTCAGTCCCATGAAAGGAAACGAGAGCCTGCCTGCAGCCCCACCAAAGGGCCAGAAGGATTGACCCAGGAGGGTTTGAAGGTGGGCCATGGCTTCTCCTACAAAGCCTGGATGGCTCTCTGGGAAGCCCAGGCACCCTCCGATCCAAGAGCGAGGGAGGGCCTGCCTTCCGTTCCCCCCCCCGAGGAGTGGGGTGAAAAATGAGGGGTCTTGGAGCAAAAGGTCCGGGGGGGGGACACAGCCCCTAAAGGACTTCCAGAGCAGAGGGGGTTCTGAGCTCCCTGGTGGCACAAGAAGTGAGCAACGCCCCAGAGATACGGGCGTGGGGGGCCCTCTGGACAAACTGCTGACCCACCCACAGCTCCAGCTGCAAGACAGAAGGACGTGAGGACTCTCTGGGAGGGTCAGTGACTTGGGAAAGGCACATTGTGACGGTGCACACAAACACACACACAAACACACACACACACACCCCTCCAAGAGCGCCACCAGCGGGGATCCAATGCCCTCCTCACCTCTTTCTGGGCCACCTTGAAAGGGACAGCATTGGCCATGTGGTGCCTTCGAATGCCGCTCCATCGGGTCCGATAGTTGGTGATGGGGCTGAGCGGGCGGACGTACTTATCATAGATCACGTCCCCGTAGTAGCCGACCACGCTGCAGCGGGCAAGGTCACTGTTCCGCCCGCCCGGCCCGGTGCCCACCATCTCGCAGTCAATGGCCACCATTTTGCTGGGCTTGGCCGAAGCTGAGGGGAGGCCGCTCTCATACTCGCCCAAGAGGCCAGCTCGTGAGATGTCCCTCAGGCTGCTGCCACCGGCGGGAGCCCCATTTTGCCTGGCAGAGCCCACTCCTGTCTTATTGGGCATGGCTGCGGCCCCAGCAGGAGAGGCTCCCGGAGTGTCCTGGAAGGCACGGCTCAGGTTCTCCTTCGGAGGAGCTTTGGCTCGGCTGGCAGAGCCCTCTGCCGGAGAAGTACTGGCAGGAGCCACCTTGCGCCCGTCCACTTTCTGCCTCTTGCCTCTCTCCCCCATAGGACGCTCCTGACAGGCCTCCCTCTTGGGCCCCGGCGGCTGGCTTGGGAGCTGCTTCGGCTTCAGGAAGCCCTTCCGCTCCAGGAACTGGCGCCGGCGGACAAAGTGCCGGTGCTTGGCGCTGGCCCCCTCAGGCCGCTTCTTCACGGAGGGACCAAGGGCTGTCGTGTCCAGGTTGATCACAAGGTCCGACATGATGCCCTCCGAGCAGGGATCGTCACCGGGGAGAGAAGGTGAGGAGGTAGGCCTCTAAAGCAAACCCAAAAGGGGCCGCCGTGCAGGACATGTCAGCGCGAGGAGCTGGGGAAAGGAAAGGAAGAGGAGAAGCGTCACCTCGGCCTCCACCGGCAACTCTGTCGGGGTCTCAGAAGCTCCAGAGTCTGTCTGGAGACGGGCTCCTGTTCAGGGGTCTCTCACGGGGTCCGAAAACATCCAACAAGTGAACATCAGGGCCTCCCCACCACCTCTGGGGAGCAGCTCCAGGTCTCTCTCTCTCTAGGGCTGCCCCGCTTCCCAGCTGCCCGCCAGGCGCAGGGCTCTACGGGCCGCGGTTCTGCCCTGGGAGGAGGCGGCTGCCCCTCAAAGGAAGCCTGCGTTGCCCAGCTCTTGGCCTAAGAGGCCCCCTCCTCTCCCCTTGGGCGTCCTGTCCGAGGGGCCAAGGCCACAAGAGACCCTCCTGCCTTCTTGGGCTTCGCTCCCAAGGACGTGAGGGCAGAGCCACTGAGGAAGCCGAGGGCCTCTCTGGGGCCACCGGGCTCGCTCTTGCCACTGGCCAGCGAAGGGAAGAGCCCCTCCCTCACTGGAGGCAGATGGAGAGGCTCCGCAGGTTGGGAATAGGGGGTGGGGGGCAATGCTATCCGTACCCCCTCCCAGCTTCTGGGGCCCCCTCCCTGCAGGCCCTCACCCCTCGCTCAGCCCCACTGATTTCCACTCCCACTCCCCCCCCCCCCCACGGGGCCTCTCCTGCCATCTTGCAAAGGGGTTTGTGACCTCAGCGGAGTTCAGCACGCACGGGGGGGGGGCTGGAGAGTCGTCACGGCCCCCGATCCGGCAGCCCCACGTCAGCCTCTTGGCGGGCAGGCAGCCCCCAAGCCCAGCCCCCACCCTCGCTGCCTCGGAGCCCACCATCCTCTCTCCCCCCCCCCTCCCGGGCAAAATCTTGCCTGGGGGGTGGACTCTCCTCCGTGGCTGCCCCTCTTCCGCCCTCACTCCCGCCCAGCCGTGGCGGCTTTTAGGCCTTCTTGTAGGACCGCGTTCCGGAGGTGTGTGTGTGTGTGTGTCGGGGCGGGGGGGTGGAAGCCGGCTTCCGCTGCCCCCGCCCGCACAAGGCCGCCGCCGCCCACCTTCCGAGGCTCGGCCGGCCAGCCTTCTTCCGCTCTCGCCGCCGGCCGCCCAGTGAAAGGGAGCGGCGCCCTCGGCCCGGAACCGGTCGGCCACAGAGGCGGCTGTCGCCTAGAACGTCGCCCTTTGGCCAGGACTTCCGGCTGGAAAGGCGGCGCCCCAAGTCCGCCCGGAACTGAGCCCCGTCTTCCTCCGTTCCGTAGGTGTTCACCGCTCCCTCCCCAGGAAAACTCCGGCGCCTCCTGAAATTATTTTACTGTACAACAATTTTTTCTTTAAAAAAAAAAGAAGAAAACGTGGCTCTCCCTTCGTCGCCTCTCCGGTCCCCAAGCCTTCCTAAGAGTCACTCGTCTAATACTATCTCTAGGATCCTCTTTCCGGATGCGAGCGCGCGAAGGAGGCCGGCCGGGGCCAAACTTAGTTCGGGCGCGTGCTCGGGCCCTCGCGTGGCAGGGCAAGTGCGCAGGCGCGGGGTCCTTCGGCCGGAACCATTGAGGGGACGGAAGATGAACCCCTTTGCACTGGGGCTTGCTCTTCCCGCCGGCGGGAAGGAGGAACCCTATTGGTTGCCTGCGAGCGAATGAGATGGCCATCGCAGTGCTCTGTCGTCATCACGGGGCGCCTCGCCCGCTCCCCAACCCTAGAAGGCTGAATGCCCGGATGCTGATGTTCTTTCCCGCCCTGGGGTCCCTTCGGAGGTGGGGCGAACCCAAAGCACCCCTTCCTCCGCAGCCCTGCTCGTCCCTCTGGCGGGCCCGGCCCGTGGTTTCCCTGAGGGAGTCGGTCCTTCTCTCCTGGGGCCGCCCTCCTCTTTCCCTGCTGCCGCCGCCTTTTCCTCAGGGGACCTTCTTCCCTCTTCTGGAGGGGCCCCGCGGAGCAGCAGCAGCAGCAGCAGGAAGAGCCGCAATAGCACGTCCTTCCATAAAAATACGTGCAAGAAGAAAACCGTCCTTCCTTCAGGAGCTGCAGAGGCTGCCTCCCCCCCCCCTTTATCCTCACAACCACCCTGCGAGGTAGGGCACTTGAGAAACTCAGGAAGAAGCTGGGTGTTTGTGGCTGCCTGCTCTCCCTGGAGGTGGCTCAGTGGCCCACCTCACAGGGCCGTTGCGAAGACGAAAGTGGGGAAGCATCCACAGAAGCTGGCTGGGGGGGGGGAGGGCTCCCCTTGAGGCCCTCAACGAACTGGGCCGACCGGCTCCTTGTGGGGCTGCCTTGCCTTGCCTTGCCTTGAGGGTCCCCTCCTTGCCTCCCCTGCCAGGATGTTTGCCAGGAGGGGCTTCTCTCTGGAAGACCAGAAGCGCTTGGTCGGGGACATCACCCGTCTCCTCTCCCTCTACGGCCACCTTGCAGACGCCTACATCATCGTGAGTCAGCCTTGGACTTCGGGGCGGGGGCTGCCTTAAGATCCCTGGATCTGTGTTGAGAGAGAGTGTGAGTGCGACAGGTCCTTCCTTGGCCCTGGTGGCCTGGGAGGTGATCCCTGGACAGTGTGCCTCCTCCTGTCTCTAACAACAGCGGCGGCAGCAGCGGCTGCTTGGGAGAGGGGAGGGGGGCTCATTTGTGGGGAAAGGGGGCGAGAGATCCGGATTGAATGAGCAAACGTTTCTTTCCTTTGCCAGGAGTTTTTCACAGACCACTTGTGGGGCCGCCTCCCTGCTTCCTGGCAAGCTGCCCTGGATGACCTCCCGTCCCCCCAGCTGGCTGCCCTATTGCTGGACAGTAGGCACCCTGAGGAAGACATCTGGTAGGAGGAAATGAACGTGTCCTTCACCCTTGGGAAACCTTTGCAAAGCAGCCTTGAGTAAAGATGCTTATTGCCGAAGGGAGAGTCCCAAATAAAAGCTGTTTTGCATCCTCCCAACGTCCCCGAAAAACCTTTGCACCAAAAGCAGGCACCTCCCCCCACCCAGTGCCCATTTGACATCCCATGGTGAGAACTGGGGGCAGGTCAGTCAGAAGCCCTTCAAGGGTTGTCGTCCCGTCCCTTCCCCGTCCCCCCGCTACCGCATGGCTTTGGCAGTGGCGTGTTCAAGAACAGCTCCCCTTACCTAGTGCTCTCTCAGGCCCTGCTTTTCTTTGACCCCAGAGAAGCCAGCTGAGGGAACTCTTCTGCCAGGAGCAGCAGGGGAAGTGACCAAGGCATCTGGAGGCTTGAGGACAATGTTACGGCCCTGGGTTGAGGGCAGGATTCAAGTCAGGATGTGACTTGAATCCTCTGCAGGGGTAGAGAGGGAGGAGGCTGTCCTCTGGCATCCTGGAGCTGCACCACAGCCCCCAAAAACTGCCTTTTCATCTCCTTTTCCAGGAAATGGGTTTTAAGGTTTTTTTGGGACTATCTTTTCCAGAATCCCTCAGGAGGCAGAAGTCACGGGGAGGGGGAGTTCTACAAAATGTGAACACCTCCCTGCTAAAAAAAACCAACCCCCTTTTCCCTAGCTGTTTTTTCTTTTTCAAAGCACCCCCTACTCACACATCCCTCCCTCTATAACTCCCTGGTTGATTCTCCTGGCTCCCTCCCTCGTTCTCAGCTACGGCACAGTCTGGCCTCTATCCCTGCTGGCCTTCAAAGCAGCCGCACACGCCTTGGCCTTCCCCAGAAGAGGTGGTGGCCGGACAGGCCTCTCGAGGGGCAGCAGGCCAGAGGAGTTCCAGGAAAACCCCTGTCAGAGCTCCAGCCTTGATCCCCTTTTCCGGAAGCATGTGAAGCCCAAGAAGCAGCATGAAATCCAGCGGCTCGGACAGGTAGGTCTTCCCACTGGGCTGGGAAGGGCTGAAGGTGCCTTGTCCTCCCGCCTCCCCCACCGAGATGCTCAGGGGAAAGGGAGGGCCCGTGGGTGTGCCAAAGAAGCAGCTGGTGGGCTGCACGGTGCCCAGCCTCTCGCAGGGAGCCAGGGCAGGTCCCCTGGGTGCCCTCTTAAGCAGCAGAAGCCGCGGCCAGGCCCGCTCCTGTTCTGGGCGATGGGCTCCATCGTGGCCTTCTTGGCTTCCTGCCTTTCAGGTGGTGAAGAGGCTGAGTGAGATCACGGGGAGCTGCCACGTCATAGATGTGGGGTCTGGCCAGGTGAGCCTCCGGGATTGAGGGCCGACCTAGAGGGATCACAAGGAGGGATGCTTGAATGGGAGGGAATCCGCAAGGGACGGAACCCACTGGAGTGGGCGTGGATCTCCTCCTGAGCTCAGTGTGGTTTCGAGCTGCCCCAACCACCCCTGGGAAAGAGCTGCCCTCTGTTGGGGGGCTCTGGGGGCAAAGCCTTTCCAGCGGAGCTCCCTGGGAGAACCCCAGGAATGCCGCTGGGACCCCTTGGATCCCACTGACCTGCTCCGGTCTCTGCCTTCCCTTGGCAGGGCCACCTCTCTCGCTACTTGGCTTTGGGGCTTCATTTGCGGGTCACGGGGGTCGAGGGAGATGCCCAGCTGGTTGCCCGGGCTACCAAGTTTGACCAGGAGCTGATCCAGGCAGTGAAGAAAGAACAAGCCCGGGGGACTCTGGTGAGGAGGTGAAACAAGGGCAGCGACAGCGGCTGGGGGTAGGTGGGAGAGGTCGGTGCCAAGTCAGGCATTGGCCTTTCTGGCAAACAAAGGAACCCCAGTAAACGAAGCTGTTTCTCCACCCCCCCTCTTGTAGGTTGCAGGTGCCCCGTCTGTTGAAGGGCCGGATCATGTGGTGGGCTGGGTGGACCCTCGAGCGCCATGGCCGGAGTTCTTACGCTTGCTGCAGCTTGGGAAAGAAGGAAAAGGTCCCCCAGCGGTGGATAGGGACCTCTCCGCAGGCCTGGGCTTCCCAGGGAGCAACAAAGCAAAGAACTGTCACTCCCTTACGACCGCCGAGCAGGGAAGGCATGCCGCGGAGAGGGACGAAGGAAGCCGGCGAGAGGATGCCTCAGCCTCCCTTGAGGAACCGAGGCAGGTGGCTGGCAGCGGCGGGTACTCCCCGACCAGTTCTGAAGGGCTCCCCTCGGAGCCTCCCCGCCCTGGAAGTCTGCCGCTGCTCCTCACGGGCCTGCACGCCTGTGGCGACTTGAGCGTGGCCCTCCTTCGACACTTTGTCCACTGCCCAGACGTGGTGGGAATCACCTCCGTGGCCTGCTGCTACATGAAGCTGACCAGCCGTGGGGACTCCCCCTTGTCTGGCCCCAGCCCCTCAGAGCACGGCTACCCCCTAAGCCGCTGGGTCTCGGCTCTGCCCGGCCACCGGCTCTCCTACAAGGCCCGGGAAGGGGCCTGCCACGCCCTGGAGGACTTCGCCCGGAAGCTCCAGGAGGACAGCCCCGCCCTGAGGACTCACTGCTTCCGGGCCACACTGGAGGTGATGATCCGGGCCATGGACCCAGCCAAGAAGCGCCTGGGGGTGCAGACCATCAAGAAGGCCCACCAGCTCACCTTTGAGCAGTACGTGAGTCCCGAGGGAGCCTCTCCTCTCTTTGCGAGGAGGAGGGAAGAAGCTCCAGGTGGGGTGGAGTGGGGTGGGGAGGAGAAGGGAAGGGGTGGACCCCCAGGGGAGCCCATGCACTGTTCGCAGCAGGGACCCCAACATGTGGAGGACCCGTCCCAGATGCCTCTGGCTGGAGGAACTGAACTCTTCCTCCTCCTCCTGCTGGCTCCACTGGGTGCAATCTGGACCCCCCCCCTGAGGTGGGCAGGGGCGGGCAGTGTTCTCCCCTGCCTTCTGAGCACAAGTGTTGCAGCAACGCTGGCTACGTGCCCACGGACCGCTCCCCCTTCCTCTCCCCCTGTGCCAGGTACGCTCGCCTCGGGCTGCAGCGCCTCGGGCTGGGCCCCTGCCTCCCCCTGGAGCCAAAGGCTGTGGCGGGCCTCCTGGCCCAGCAGCAAAAGGTGGTGGCTTTCTCCAGCCTGGCCCTCTTGCTGGCCCCCTTGGTGGAGACTCTCCTCCTTGTGGACCGGATGATTTACCTCCAAGAGCAAGGTGAGTTGGCGAGGAGGCGCCAAGGGGGGGGCGGAGGGGCACCAAGGCTGGCCAGGCACCTGGGGGAACAAATCACCTGGGGGGTCCCTGCCTGCAACGTTGGTGAAGGGAGCTGGGGCCGGGGGTGGTGGTGGCAGGCAGAGAATGTGCCCCTTTGGGCAGAGGCTGGCCATGCCACAGGCTCTCCCTTTTGCCCACTCCCCGCTCCTGCCATGCTGGATCAGCTCCAAAGGCAGCCAAAGGGGAGAACTGGGAAACCAGAGCCGTTTGGGCCATACCGAAAAGGCACTGGGACTCGCAGTCCCAGGAAAAGGGCCGATCTTTGGGGCCCACCTGAAATGTGGGTCTCTCACAGCAGGGTAAAGCCAAGCCCCGCCCTCCAGCCCCCTGGGTGGGCAGTCCTGCCAAGCGCAAGATGCCCGGGGGCCACGCAACCTCTTGAGCCTGCGCGCAGCCTTTGAGGTAGCAGGAGGGTTGCCTCTGGGTTGCCCCTTCTTTCCATGGGGCAGGAGGTCTGCCTTCCAAGCAGACGGCTGGCGGTGCCTGAGGGTGGAAGGACCTCCACAGCCGTGGCGCCGGCTGGTCTGCCGCAGGATGCCCGGTGGGCCTCAGGTTACTGGAGCCAGGCCCTCCGTCTGCCCCGCTGGGCTAGGCTAGGCCAGGCCAGGCGAGCGTCCCAGGCTGAAGGCGCCCCCTACGGTGCAGCCGGGTGCTCCGTGCCCCTTCCTACAAACCAAGGAAGGTTGAGAGAGAGAGAGACAGAGAGATGCCCTACCGCAAGGCCCTCCCTGCCTGCCTGCCTCCAGGGAGCTCCACTCCGAGGAGGAGGAGGACACGGATGGGCAGCATCGGCCTCCGGGTGTGTTTGGGGCAGGAATCTTCCCTGGTCCTCTCTGGAGCTGCTGAGCCACAGGCCTTCCGGGCAAAGCTGGGGCTCTTCCTCTCATTGTCTCCTCTCCCCACCCACCTGCAGGTTTCCAGTGCGAGCTCCTCCCCCTGTTTGACCCCCAGTTTTCCCCCCGGAATTTTGTGCTGGTGGCTGCCAAGGGGCCCTCGGGCGCTGCCTTCCCAGGCCCAGGTCTCGGCAGCGAAACCTGAGCGGAGGGTCCGTCCCGGCACGCCAGAGGGGGAAAGAAGAACTGAAGGGAGGCTGGCATGGCACGGACGTCCTGGCCCCTTCCCTGCCCGGTGCACCCGCTTTGTTGGCTTTGCAAGGAAGGAGAGACACACGGAGGCCCGCTGAAGAGGGAGAGAAGGCCCTTTATGTAGGCGGCAGCCACGCCAGGCGGAAGGAGCGAAGGGGCCGACCTTCAGGCCGGAATGGAAGCCGCCGCTCGCCGCCCAAGCCGAAGGGGCGAATCAATACCAGTAAGACTTCTTGAAGCGACGGGTTTCCACAATGCCTTTCAGTTCCATGATTTCCTCCTGGAAAGTCTTCAGGGAAGGGACGTAGGTCTTCTCCAAAGCCTCCTTCGCAGGTGTGTCCTTGCGGCCGTCTGGAAGGGGAGGGGGGTGGAAACGAGGAGGGAGGGCCGGCCGGCCGGAGGGAAGAAGGAAGCCCACAAGGCTGAGTTGGACAACAGAGCAAGGGAAGCTTGGCAGGAGGAAGGCGCTTGGGGGATGAAGACGGGCCTCCCTCCTTCTTTCTCCCCCCTCCCCCACCGCTCCTCACCTATCCATTGCTCCGGAATGATGCCGTCCTCCCTCTCTTCAATGGGCTTGGGGATGATCCTGCCAGTCCTGAGCGAGACGCGCACTCGCGTACCCTCTTCGGTGTAACGCCATTCTACTTCGGTGGGCTGCCTGGGGGGGGGGGAGAGGGACAGAAAGCAGGCAAAGGTGGGCAGAGGGATCGGACCCGGGCGCCCCAAAGCACCTCGGGGGGGGGGCTTGCCCGTTGGGCGAAACATCAAGGCAGAAACGCTCGTCCCAGTTAGTGGGGGTGCCTGTAATTCGACACCCAAAGAGGGAAGGGAAGAAAAGCCGCAGGTGGTGGGGTGACCCGGTGGCGGTGGTTCTCCCAAGGAATCGCAAGGACAAGGTCCTTCCACGAGGAAGAAGCACTCGGTTTGCGTCCAAGGAGCCGATTCCCGGCCATATGAACGCCTTCCGAAAGGCTGCGCCTTCGGCAGCCGACAGGGACTCCCCCGAGGAAGGAAGGAAGGAAGATGATGAATAGGAGGAAGGGAGGGGCTCTCACTTGTCTGTGGGGTCCACCAGGGAGACATCCCTCACCAGCAGCGGGGTTTCATTGGCCACGAGCATCCCAGGGTCGGTGGAGGTCCTCCCGTGATAGCAGTAGTGCTGCAGGAGGAAGAGAGAGGCTGAGAGGCGCTGGAGCATAGCCGGGAGGGTGCGCACACACGCACACGCACACGCGGCTGAGGACTGTGTTCTTCTTTTCTCAAGGGTCCCTCCCTTCCTCTGCTGGCTCCAAACCTTGCTGGCCCTTCGCCCCTCAACTCAGCCTGAACCGCCTTCCTACGTAGGCCCCAGGAAAACACAGGTTTGGGTCCCGGGCCACAAAACTCCCTGCATGGCCAGGGGCTGCTTATCATCTCTGGGCCTGGCCTACCTCACAGGGCTGCTGTGAGAGAGAAGGTGAAAACATGTAAATATTGGTGTTAGCCGGAGGCCTGAACCTCTGGGGCGAGACACTAAATGCTGGGAGCGGGCAGGCGAGGTGTGTCAGCCAGCTCTGCAAGGGGAGGAAGGCCCTTCCTCCTCCTCCTCCCCCTCGGTGCTCAGCCAGGGCTGTTCTCAACCCCAGCGTGTCCCCTCCAGAGGAGGTCTAGGGGGGCCCCCTCTGCCCGCCCCTCCTTACCACGTTCAGGCCTTGCACGACCACCCAGTTCCGCTGCCGGACGACTTCAGCCACCAGCCCAAGCTTGCCGCTGTCTTTCCCTTTGAGGATCTGGACCTGGAACGAGAAGCGGAGCCCACCCTTGAGGCCCTCCTCCTTGGAGGAGGAGGAGGAGGAGGAAGAAGGATCCGGCCTCGGCCGCTTGATAGTTAAGTGGCATTCACCACGTTGTTCTTCGTCAGGGAGCTCAAGGCGACCCTGCTCGAAGGCGGCTCTCCTCCTCCTCCTCTCGGTTGTCTCGCAACAACAGCCTTGCCGTGCAGGTCTGCCTGGGAGAGTGACTGGGCGAAGGCCACCCCAGGGGGGGGGAGTCCGGGGGGCAAGGCAGGCCCTACCCGAGGGACACCTCCAGGGAGGCCAGGAGGGGGGTCAG